GCGACACTGAGGGTTGCAATCCGTTGCCGGTCATGAAAAAAGACAAAAAGGAAAAAAAAATCTTCTTTAATAATCTAGATTTTATGCATTAATCCTCATTTTTATATTGTCATCACTTACAATCAATAAGGCATGTGTACCAAATATTATCAAATTGAATCACAGGTGGATCTGCAGACATGAGGATAAACAGGTCCCTGGCATTTTGAGATTTATTGTGCGCATCTTAAAAACATGGACATAGAATGGCAAGACTTAATACTTCTCAGTCCCTCGATCTTAACTTTTTACTTTTAAACATTTTATTCAGCATAAGCAATACTGCTTCTCCTAGGTTACAATGTCTTTCGAAAAGTATTTCTGTAAAACTCAAAGGAGAGTGGCCAGCTGTATTCTGCAGTCTTATAAACAGAGGCAGTAAGTAAAAACCACAGCATGTCCTTACAGTAAAGGTCACTGACACAGAACTGAGTAACCCTCCACCCAGAACTGTGTAGTGTGATTTTCTCTGCAGTTGCTTGAAATTAAGAGGCATGTTAATTTCTCTTGTCAGTTAAAGTGTTGGTGCCAAAGGACACAGGAATAGAATTCTTGACCTCTTAGGGTCATCTCCAGCACTCTGTGATTTCAATTCTGCAGTGCATAAAAACAAACTCTTTACAAGTCGAATAAAAAGCCATGGAGCTTGAACCAGATCTCACCAGGAGAACATGTCATCTTGGCAGGGATGCAGAGTTTCAATGAGGTATATTCTCCAAGGAAAATAATCACAACATAATACACTAAGGTTTCTTAGCTTTTATGTTTTTTAGAACATGGTCACATAATCTCTCTGCAAGTCCTCCCTGCTCTGTTTTATTTTGAGCAAGGAATCAAACTGAGTTTTTCTTCCTTGAACCAGAGAGAAGCAAATATATTGCTCATGAGAGATGAATACAAATTTATTTCTAACAGAATAAGAAATTAAGTGTATTATGAATACAGATTAACTATACAATCCTGACAGTCACTATGTCCTCAACACTAAAATATATCTTTTTAAAAATTATTTTAGTAAAAAGGAGTTGATTTTATCTGGGCAGAATAACTTTTCTTTTTCTCATGTATATGGCAGTTGGTTGGTTATAGAGTTATATTTACATACTAGAATAGTTTAAAAATATTTTTAAAACATGTAGCCCAATATCCAAAGTATATGAAAATGCTGACAAGCATTGATATGGAGTATAGAGATGCTCTATCCATCAACTCCCTATTTCATTGAAAGCCAAGCAGGCCGTATAATGGTGCACAACCAAAGTTCTCGAAGCACTGTGAGAATCTCAGCGTATACAGCTTCACATAAAATATCTTGAAGTTTTACACGCACATACTTTCATTTGCAGCTTTGCATTCACAGGCACACAACACCACATTTTTCTTAGAGCCTGCAAATAATGACATGATTCATTTATTACTTGTCTGACATTTCAAAATCTCACCATAAGTGTTAGTAGGAAAATTTTTCATTGTCTACTCTCCTTTTCACATTGAAAATAATGAGGTATCAGTAAAGTATATATATATATTGTAATACATCTTTTAGGCCCTTGAGGGGTTTTGTGTGTTGGGGGGCAGGGGTTTAAAATGCTTTTCAGAAGTAAATAAGGACTATTATTTCACACGGTTTATATTTCCTTTGGGAAAGTAAAAGAGGTGCTAGAAGATAAGTTAGCTTCATAACGATGCCAAAGGAGCAGGCCCTCACCTTAAAAACTGCAAACTTGTTCAACTAATGTGTTTTTTAGAAGCACTGTAACGTAATACATACTGGGCAGAGATACAAAATTAGGAAAGCAGAATGAAACTCACCTATATTTATTATTCCAGCATTCTATTCTCATAATTTTCTTCTAGTTCCTCGAATGCTAATTATTTTTCTGGGGCAGGGGGAGGCAGGGACTAAAGACTAGTTAGGATTAAAATCATCAATCAGAGAGAGGTTAAGATTCAAAGGAATTGGTCTTTTTTATTCCATTTCAGTGTTTTAGGGAATAATAGTAAAAAAGTTTTAGCACATTGAAATTGGTTTCAAGGCAATAGAAATTATCACAGGGCAGACAGAATAACCAAGTATTTTTCACTGCTGCATTATCTTGCAGAGTATTCTTACCTCGTGTTCTGTGCCTCCCAGGTACTGACATGAGCAGACTACCAGGCAGAGACAGAAGTTGACTTGGGAAGGCTGTGAAATATAGATGAACTAAGGTTTTTTGACTTCCTAATACTTTTTTTTTCTACTAAGCAGTTTCAAATGCATTGGTTCATTTTATGTTTTATAAGGCCTTATAGAATCAGTTATTACCATATTTTACAGATAAAAAATAAAGTCTCAGCCTGGTTAAGTAACTGACCTAAGTTACTTGTAAGTTGTATGACTAGGAGTTAGTCCAGAAATGCTTGAGAACAGAAGACCATGCTCTTGCCTTTACAATATTTTCCTCCAGGTAATCAAGGGAAGTGCTAGAAAAAAGAGCAATACATGAGTATGTGACAGTGTGGGAACATTATCATTTGGAGAAAAGAAGAAAATGCTGGGCTTGACGGTTGAGTCACAATATAGTGTAGTCACGTATAAATACTATTTTTTTATTTCAAAATATTTTAACGTTTATTTGTGTGTATTTGTGGCATACAGTATGTTGTTTCAGTACCTGCATATACTGCACAATGATTCACTAAGAGTAGATAGCACAGTTTTGTACCCATTAGTCCACTATATTTTTAAAGTTCTTTGTCTTGTTTTATTAAGAAGTCAAAAATGTGTTCCTGAGA